AGTACCAAGCAACAAAATTTAAGGGATGGTAAATTTTTTTGAATTTATGGGAGGCCTGGACAGCAGAATCCAGGGGTAAAGAAATTATTAGAATTTAGATGCTGCACAGCCGTATGAAGGACCTGCAGAGATAGTGCGAGGTGGCAAAATGACTAGTGCCGGCCCTGCAAGTACAACCATTGCCTCTTGGCCGGGATAAAATGTGTGGACTTGATCTGATATTACTGTTAGAAAAGTGAGATAAATCACATCAGAGATAAAGTTTAGGTTCAGTTTCAGCTGTCAGTTTCTTGTTGTTTATCAGCTTAAGACTAAATATAGCTGGTGCTTGATTAAATTATTAGACTTTTCTTTTGTGATAATGTTGAAATTTTCTTAATATTGTATTTCTCATATACTTTTTTTGTTATTATATATGTGCTTATAACATTAAAGCAGAAATATTAATACTGTAATTTTAACTAATAGCAACCAAGAAATGATTAGTAATATAAAATTTTAGTAGTATTTGTTATCTCTATAGATAATGCTTTTAAAAAGCAAAAGAACCTTAATATTTTCTTTTAGTTATATCTAATTCTTCTTATTTAAAGAAAGCGAGGTTACACAAATACCTCCGAACATGTATGCACATTTTGAAATCTAGTTGGGAAATGAAGATAAATTCTATATACGTAATGAAGAACCATTATGTTTTAGATTCAAAGGAATTGCAGATTCTCTTCTGCTTTTACCGATTACTAATTCTAAGGATGCTGCTGTATATCTAAACTGTAAATTACTGTTGAACAGTTTTAGCAGAGATCATTATTTGGACTTGCACATTAAAGCAGCTGCACTGGCTGAATTTGGTGATTTTTCAAAAAAGAATTGCAAACAAGCATTTACTGTGTAGTTATTTTATGTTTTAAATAGATATTTACCTTCAAAATCAATATCTTCCACACAAGCAGGTTTTTGTTTCTTTTGTTGTGGTGGCAATTTCATGGTGATCACTTTAAGAATAAATTCAGAGCAATTGTTTCCTGTCACAGCTTTGCACAAAATACTGCATTCCTGCAGAAATTTTATCTCACTTTCTTAAACTGCATCTAAAATCCACAAGCTCATATTTAAAATTGAGTGTGAGATGAAAAACATGACTATTTATCTATAAAAATTGTTAGAACTTAAAATACAATAAAATAAATGCATAGGGAAAATGCATGAGGAAGCTTAAGAATTGTTATGTGCATTGTCATCAGAGTTTGGCACTTTCTGAAAAATTAATAACTTTTACTAATTGCATTGATATGCAAGTACCTATTAGTGTTTAGAGCACTTGATAAAAATTCTGTTTATTCAGTACACTAGGCTGGAAACACACAAATATATTTTAACAACTTTTGCACTTCTTATTCCCCAAAATTACTGTTGAAAAACTGAACAAGATGCCTGTACTTACTGCAGAATTTTTCTGAATCCAGAATCTAGGCCATAATAAAGGGAAATTGGTCTACATCAAAACATTGTCTTAATGTAGATCTGGTGAAAAAGACCTTGATTGTGTTTTAGAAAAGGGTAGTGTTTTTCTTCATTATTTGTTATTATATTTACTTTTAGAAATGAAAAAAATTAACATAAAAGATTATTGATTGATAGTTCCAAACTAAATTGAAAATATGCTCTTTGCCATCGAAGGAAAAGTCTTGATTCTTAACCTGTTAAGCTTTACCTAACGAGATTTAATAAATCTAGCATTTCTTGTGGGAAACAATTGGGCATCTTAGATGAGTAATCAGCTTGTATTAGAGTGGATTAATAAAGGAAAAGCATTGTATAATTGTATGGGATACTATGGCAAAATACAAAAATATTATTGCCACAAAGACTAGTAAATGAAGAAAATTCTGTAGCATTTGTTTCAACTGCTGTTTGTGTAAAGTTAAGATGAAGCAGTTCATTAAATTTTTCAACTCTGCAAGTTGTGATCTGATTTGGAGATCTTGTATAACACTGTTCTATTAACTAAACTTTCTTTGCAATAGTTTAAAATTTCATGTATTGCTACATTTTTGTTGATTAAATGGTGAATTTTTATTGGTGTTATCATTTGCATTCATTATATAATGCATAGTCAGAGAATAAAATGTTATAGTTTAATTTTTGTAATGTAGGAAACCATGATTTGAGGCAGTCAGGTCAGAATTATGATAGGTGGAAACAAACTCAAAAAATAAATCTGTTGTATTCTAAAATACCAATTTTTCTTTGGTTTCATTTTTACTAATAAATAAGGAAAGTGAATGCTTTTGTAGTTCTTTAAAATTTAATGCTAGGTTGAAGACAGTGAATGATTAAATCGACTAATAACTTTTAAATTGCATTATAAAATATCTGTAATTTGAATAACATAATTTTGTAATTTTTTTTCCCTTTTATTAAGTAGTAAACTGTAATAAAGACTTTTTCATGTGACTATTGTCCATCTGAAAACAATATACCAACATAGATAAAAAATAATGCATTCCTTATAGGTCTTTTCTTATCTTTCACTAAGGATAATAAGATAAGAAAATTTTCTTGAACAGTTACTAATGTAAGTATAATAAGCTACCTGATGTATTGAGATACAAAATGTTAGTAGCAGTTTGAATTTAAGCTGCACCCTAATTTTACATCTTAAAAATTTTAATCAAAAGTGTGGTTTAAATTAGAAGTTTTAGATTATATCTGCAATACAGTATTTTAATATTCTGCTATTAGAAGTAATATCATGTTTTTCATAGTCTGTCATTTGAAATAACACATTTCCCTCCCATTTGTTGCCTAGATTTGATGAATAAATTAGCATTTAAATGTGTAGGTGGGATGTTGACAATATCACAGGCAGTGCTTTCTAAATATTTTATATTTATATATATTAATAGTACACTGCGCTCTGTTAAAACCTTTCTTTTTATGACATTAAGTAGAAAAGGGTTTATGGTATAATAGGTGTGAGAAGGCAGGTTGCACATCTAAATTATTAAGTAGATAGGCATTTTGTGTCAGACCTCTTTGCATGCTGTTGATAGCTGCCTACTAAAATTTATATATTATAGTGAAAAACTTATAATGTTCTAATGTACCATGAGGTCTGTCCCCTTCAGTCATAAATAAAAAAAAAAAAATTAATCATTAAAACCATACATCTGGAAAAGGGGGCATACTGTATGAATGTCTCATAGCTCATTTTTATATTTCTCAACTACAGAAGGGTATAATTGCCGGAAATTTAATAATATATTATTTTAAAATAAATTCCGTTTAGGGTACTCTAAGCATCCCATCTACCTGCTTAAATGTTCAAGAAAAGAAGAAAATGAAATACTATAAGCAGTATTTACATCATTAATTTAATAGAATATGTTTCATTAAAAGTAAGGGGGTTAAATTAGAAATCTAATCCCATACACTTTTTTTTTTCTATTTAATGACTAGTAAAACTCAGTTGTTTTGATGTTAATTTTAATAGAATGAAGGTGCCTTGTAAGAGATGGAATTAGAGCCAGTACTTAATAGTGATTTTTATTAATTCATAGAAATGCAAAATAATTAAAAAATTGTTCTGTTGAAATATCATAAACTTCCTGAAACCAATTCCAAAAATGTTTTAATTTTCTTACTCTATTTCAAAAATTTTTAATCAAAAATTTATATTTTGGCATTCATTCCAAGTATTTATTGTTTGTAAATGCATTTAACTTTAATATACCTGAGAAGGAAGCATTATGGCAGAAATTTAGATGGTATAAGAGTTACTTAAAAATATTCAAAAGTATGCCCAGAATTGAGATTTTGTTCTTTATGAAACCTTGATTGTGTTATATTGAAAATGTTATATCTTTTATAGGTACTGTTTAAAAATTCTAAGATTCTCTTACCATACTTTAACCTTCTAACTGGCCAGGCCATATATATTGTAATTACACTAAGTTTGCATACATGCATCTTGAAATATGTTCGAGTAATTAAAATGAAAGAATCTTTTTACAAAATACCAAGCGCATTTTGGTATTATAATCAAGAAAACAGCTTTTTCTTATCATAGCTTGGGGAAATTTGGCAGATTTTGGAGCCAAACCCCTGTCTGGTTGGAGAGTTAATTATCATTCAGATTACTCTAGACCAGCGGTTCTCAACCTTTTGACTAATGCTTATCATCTAAACAAAAATTGAAAACCTTTAGTGCCACCACTACAAATACTACCACCACCACCACATTTGAACAAGGCTCAGAACATATAAATTTACAAGTGTTGGAGAAAAACCTCAATCAGGATGTTGGGGGGTTTAATTTTTGAATTTAATAGTTAAAAATACTTTGCTTACCATCTATTTTTCCTTTGTGTATCACCGGTTGAGAAACCCTGCTCTAGATTTTGTAGTTCATTTAAAAACATATTTGCATTATATATATATATTTCAATATTACTACCTTATTTTGTTTAAAATTCGTAATGTAGCAAAATGTTGAGTTGAAACCTAGTTTAAAGTATCTAGAATTTGCATTAAAGTAACACAGTATTGATTATTGGAAGTCAATAAAAACCATTATTAATATTATGCTGATTTTTTGTTGCCTCCAATAGCTCGCATTTTTTCAATGTGCTTGCTTCAGTTAGGAAATCTATTCAGCAATAATTAATTTTCTTTGCATTTAATTTGTGAATAATGCAAGTGCGCTCTTTTTTCCAAATTAAACTGAGAAATTATAATTTCTGATTAGAACTTTTATATTATTGATCAAACTACACCTATTTATAATACACCAAAAATATTTTGGCTGAAAAACTGGAACATAAATCATAAGCTTAACCTTGTCGATATATTTTCCAAATTTATTCCGGAATGATGTATGAAAAACATTTTGTATCTTGCAGTTTATATTATAAGCATATGAATAGGCTGTCATTTATCAAAATTATGTAGTTGAAATTCAGTTATGAGTTATCTAAAATCAGATTTTTCCTCTCTAGTGTCTGCAGTACAGATTTTTATTATTGTGATAACAGTACTATTAGCTGTGGGGATCATTACATGTGTCCTTAGTCATTACAAGATGGGCGCAAGGTCCTGGAGTGATCAACGTAACAGACAACAATCTACTCGGCAACTTCAGCAACCTTGTCCTCAACAGCAGCAGTACACATACTCCTTAACACCAACTACATCATCAGTTAGTGATTATTTTAATATTGCATGTTAAAGTTGTATGTTAATAGTGTAGTTTTTAATTTATGGTTTATAATTGATTTTAGTGCAAATTTTTAAAAGTTAAGGAAACTTTTATTTGAAGATGAAAATTGATTTATTTTTTAATTCAAGCCAATTTAATTGTACTAGTTTTCTGAATTTTAGCATTTGCTAAAATACTGTTAGCTAAACAGATGGCTAATCTCTATCCCATTCTTTCTTTCATCTTGTTTGGATGTTGTGGAACATTATGGAATTCATGTTATTTGTTTTAATAGTTTTTGTAATCTGTATGACTTTAACCCCTTGTTGTCCTGATTAAAAATTTAAAAAGTTTTTTTTTTCATGCCAAATTTTTAACTTTTTAACAAAAGAACATTATATCTTGTAAAATCAAACACAAAAAGCATTTTTTAAAAATACACTAATTTGCATATGTAACCAAACCGAGTTAACTCATGCAATAAAAAAATTGTCATGATCATTAACTGAACTAAGTAATAAGTTTCAATTTCTATCAAAAATGGGGGAATGTAAAGATAAATTTTAAAAATGTTATATAATGTAAATGAGTGGGCAATCGCAAATTAAAACTTGCTATAATTCAGTGCAGTCTTCTGAAATGAAAACAATGCCTTTTGTCGTGGTGTCGCCTGAAAAAAAGTGTATGCATGAATTTACTGTTGACATGCCGACAGCAAATTATAATGGATGAAAGGAAGTAGACTCAAAATTATAGTTGATATAATTGATTGTATTCATGTGTGGGAAAATTTTCTTGAACATATTAACTTCAGTGCATAGGATGTCTTGAGTTGACTCGATTGAGTGCATTGAGGGGTTAAAGTGTGTAAAAGTGCATGCAATAAGCTGTTTAGATTTAGTAGTATCATGGTTCTGAAGTGTACATTAAAATCTATTAGGATTCAACAGAATTTTATCATCAAATTTAGTGCTTACTAAGAGTTAGAAGCAAGTTTAGGGTGTCAGTTTGTTTAGCTATTTTGGGGGGAATTAATATTGTGATATTTTATTATTGTTAGTTATTTTAGTATTGTATAACTAACAATAATAACATTCTCCAGTAATATGTTAAATCATCACCAAACCCCAGCATAAAAACAGCCTCGAAATTAGAGAAACGCTTAAAATCACCACCAAACTGTTTTGCAACAGACCTGTTCCACTCTCCATTTCCTTATACTAAAATAACTAACAATATTATATATATAATATTAAATATATAAAACTATATATATAATATATATAATACTAAAATAACTAACAATAGATAACTAACAGTATATGTAGGTTCTTTCTTTTTTTTATATAAATTAAAATAGCGAGACATGAAGGTTTTAAAATGAGTTTGGGTTATTGGAAGGAATATTCTTTTATATTTATTTATATAAAACTAATCTAATGGCGGAAACCCTTTCTAATAAATGCGTATATCAAGGTGATAAAGGCACTGGTTAGGTGGCTAAAAATTATTGAATAACAGTAGTGTTTTTTCAAGCTATTGAGCTATTTGGCTGAAAATGTATTTTCTTGGATTTTACTATGTGTAGTACAAATATGATTCTATTGTCATGCACAGAGTTGCTGAAAATTGGCTGAGCAGAAAAACTGAACACTGGTAGTTTATCACAGGTTTGCTTCTTTTGTGTTTTTTTCTTTAGCCTGGATGTGAAGTATTTTCTGTAAGAAATTTCTTTACAAACACAGATCACCCTAGTAAGCTTTGTTATAATCAACTAACCAACCAGGTAGACAGTTCATTTACCAATCTTGTATTCGTATTCTGGTGATAGAGTAACTGGTTAAATTTTTTTGAGAGAAGGGAATAAAATCCTGGTATGTAATGCGAACATCAGCCAGTTTCTTCATATAATCTGAGTACAGATAACCCTTAAGTATTTTTCCATGTCATAAATCATTCCTCCAAAAAGCTTTATTCCTAGGCAAATAACTTTGTTGTGCCTGTGCTTTATCTTAATTATCTCCTTCAGGATGTTGGTGTCCCAATAGCGTAATTTTATTTCAGAGTTAGCATTTTAAACTTCAGCTGAGGAAAACTGTATTTACAGTTAAAAAGGTAATTAGCACACATGATTAAAATGGAATTAAAAGTGAAATAAAGTACATGCTAAAATCACATTTAAGCATTATTATCTGAAACATCTGATTTATGTGATCTTAAACATTCACACATAGTAACTAAGTGGGACAAGGCCATAATCATCACCAATGTCTGGATGTCATTTTTGAGTACAGTAACCATGAAGAAACCCATAAAAGATGACAAATGTAATCAAATCATCTAGTTCAGCTCCAGGTGCAAAGCAGACAGATTTTCTGCAAAAGCTCCTTTACTTTTATATGTGTTTAAATGTCGTTCCAGGGTGTTGGAGTATTTTATCTGAATTTGTATTTCTTACAGTCAGAAAGGAGCCTGTAAAACCTTTGTTTATTGTTCTGTTTATGTATGTATGGTTTTAATGTAAAAGTAAAAAAATAACGTAATATTGTTATTGCAATAATCATATACATCATAGAAAAATTTTAGACACTGGAAAAAAGATTTGAACTGTATCGAAGATATTTTCCCTTTATATGTCCACCAGCAGCTGAGCGGTAAAGTCACTGACTACTAGTAGTTCGGTCAGAGGTTTGAATCCCCCGATTGGGCTGGCTGCGTGGATGGTTTCTTGGTTTTCCCCATGCATAATGTGTATACGAGCAAGTTTCACTTGGAAAGTCCTCCACAAAGGCATCTCTCCCCTTAGATGGCCATAATAACATAAATTAAACCAAACTCTGGTTGATCCTTGGATTATGGCAACTTGGCGATTTTTTGGCGAAAATTTGATGACCAACTCTGCTACAGCAACCCTCTGTTGTTGTTTTTTCGCCGCCATTTTGTCTTCACGAAGCAAAGACATGTTTCTTTTCTTTTTATTTACTCAACACTTTTTCCAACAATTACACTTATGCTAGAAATTTTATGGAACAAAACTGCTTAATCATGACAAATATTAACTGCAAAATTGGGAAAAAGTGCAGAATAGCAAACTCCTTGCCGTGTTTTACAAAATCGCACATACACAGTCACCATGTACACGTCGACTTATTTTTACTTAAAAAAACATCCCAGAATTGCACAAAAATGGCATTGCACACACTCTTGACTTTATCCATCTGAACTGCTATTTTCTCATAAATTACAAAAATTTGCACGAAAATGCAGGAAAATTTTGTGAATCTTTAAACTCGGTAAAAAGCACATATATGAAATTACCTGATCACGAAAAATTATATACCCTATCCAAGGATGAACATTTCCACGTATAATATAAATAAAATATCCAAAAACTTTTACCTCTAAATTATCTGTTATAAATGTCACCAACGAATTTATAACAAAACATTAAAAATGGTTACAAATACTTAGTGTCAAATATTTAAATTATTTCCATGCACATCTACTTCCACTCAAACGTATACCAAATTGCTACAAACATATAATTCACAAAATAACTATCATTTAATTAAAATATAATTAAACCATGTACACGTCGACTTATTTTTACTTTAAAAAACATCCCAGAATTGCACAAAAATGGCATTGCGCACACTCTTCACTATATCCATGTACATTGCTTTTTTCTCATAAATTAGAACAATTTCACGAAAATGCATGAAAATTTTGGGAATCTTTAAATTCGGTAAAAAGGACATATATGAAATTACCTGATCGTGAAAAAGTATATACCCTTTCCAAGGATGAACATTTGCACGTATAAAATAAATAAAATATCCAAAAACTTTTCCCTCTAAATTATCTATTATAAACCTCACCTACCAATTTCTAATGCAAACATTAAAAATGGTTCCAAATACTTAGTGTCAAATACTAAATTCTTTCCATGCACATTTATATCTACTCAAACGTATTCCAAAATACTACAAACATATAACTCTCAAAATCACGATCATTAAATTAAAATATAATTAAATTAAAAAAACACTACTTAAAATATAAATAAGCACATACATTAAATTAATAAAAAATAGCTTATAATCCTAATTACTTTAAACTAAATCATTGCTAATAACAATTTTCCAATAATACCATATTAATTTATTTACTCCTTACATTTAGAACAACAATGCATAAAAATAATATCCTTAAATAATTAAAAATACTAATTTACCTAATCTTCTACAGAATCTTGAGTGCATGGCGGATCACAAAATGTCCATTTTCACCAGATTTCTTGTACTGCCATTCAAACTTATCTGTAATATCCTTCCTTTCACACAATCTCATTTCATACCCACATGTTGGACATTCATACTTATCTGCAATTAAGCAATTCTTTTCAATTACCTATAAACGCAATAAAAATTTCGGATTTACTTTATATAGGGCCATGGGATCCAAATATTAAACAACACTGTTTCACAGAACATAGAATGAAACTAGTGCTGTACAGCAGATATTTTTACAAATTTACTCCCTTTTCCGATTAAAGAACAGTGATTTGTCCATTAATGTCACATGACATATCTCATGACCTCTCATTTCCCTCACACAAAATAATGCGTAATCGGAACTGAGTACTTCTCACATTATTCCCAAAGTCCTAGGTAGTAACCTTTATCGCCTCCAAAATGTCGCCAAACTACCTGTTACCATATTCCAAAGATCAGCCCAAACTCTTGCTTATTCTCACTTCTTTACTTTATGCTATGTAAGAACCACATTTGTCAGGCTAAATGTCAAATAGCACATTAATTTTTAAAAAAGTGTATTTTATTAGTGACTTATTGTAACAAGAAAATACATTTTATTTAATAATCAGTTTCTGTTTTTCTTTCATTAAGTGATAAAATGGAATGTCATGATACAGTTGTGTTCCGTATCTGCTAATTCAATATCTCTAGCTCAGAACAACTAGGGGGGGGACTGCTATTTCA